GCTGATGAAATCTGGCAAAAACTACCAAAGCAGCAATCAGTTTCAGTGAACTATTGAAAGCATACTTCACATACAGGGAAGAAAAAACATCTGGATGTACTAAAACATATATTACAAGACAAGGAAAATAATAAAGACCATAGACAAATATTATCCTTACACATCAATCGATTGGGCCCCCAAGGAGCTGTTCTTGAAAAATGTTTCAAGAGCATAGAATCAAAAAATACAAAAAAGGAGTTACCAAAATGAATGTTTTGGTCGTTATACTTTTAAAGAAAAAAGTGATATTTTGGTCCCAATTTGGAAAATTTTAACACAAATTTTATATACAATAAAACTCTCAAATACAAATCTATAGCTATATTTCAAGAAATTTATTGACTGGAATGTCATTCTAAAATTATAATTGAAAAAAATGTGATAAAAAAGAAAATTAAGGACCAAAACGGTCACTTTTTAAAAGTATAGGGACCAAAATAAATGTCTCAAAAGTATAAGGACTAAAATGAGCAAAAGCTAAAAGTATAGGACCAAAATAATATTTAAACCAAAGAATTATTATAAGTCGTTTTAGCGATTCATAAGTTCAGAAGACTAAAGAGCCAGTGTACTCAAGGTGGCTGACAACCTCTCCTCTCCCGACTCCTCCTTAATCATCTTGTTCGAAGAAAAAGGCTAAAGAAATCAATTATCAAATAAAGTTATTTTTCATATTTTATGGACAGTGTCCTTTTTGTTACAACTTTTGGGTAGGCAAAATTACTCTATTACTGATATTTTGGATTTCGGCCGATTGGAGGTTGTTCTTTTTTTTTTTTTGAAATTCGTGTGTCCGGGCTAGCTTGCGCGCACCTCGACTAATCACGGGTCAACCGCCTGACCCTACTACATTTGGTTGACAAGGTAACTTGTAGGATATTAAATCTTAGGTAGGTGGCCACCATGGTTTGAACTGATTGGAGGTTGTTCTTGTAAAACCCTTTTGGTTGTGGGTTGTCTTTCTCTTCCCCTTTCTTTTGTATATTTTACCGATCTAATGAAATATCATAACATTGTAATGGATCTTAATTTGAATACACATAGAAATGATAATATTTCATTTCTTTTAAAAGAAGAAATAAGACTTCATTGAATGAAAGGAAGGTACACAGCCTTAAGCCAAAGCGATAGCAGAAAGCCTCTAACACAAATCAAAATTAACAAAAGAAAGAAGTAACAAAAGAAATGTTATCACAAACCCTACTCATGGGTCTTCCATTCTGGGGAATAACCTCACGTTTCTTTCTATTAAACCACTAACCAACCTAAAAGCTTAAACTGATGAATTACGATAAATTTAATCTTTTATAGATACCTTAACACTCCCCTTCGCTTATGGGCTTGCAATTTTGTACAAGGCCCTAATTTTAACAGAGAGTAAATGACATTACTGGAGATCGAACACAGGACTTCCTACTCTAATACCATGTTAAATCACCCGTCAACACAAAAGCTTAAGGTGATGGGTTGTAGTGAATTTAATGTTTTATGGATACCTTAACATTTTCCAATCAAACTTCTCATGTGGCCATAGAATTAGCTTTATAAGAGGTGATCTTAACATGATTCAGGAATACTAAGAACCAGCCAAATAAGTTAGTAGCTTCCTCCACAACTCCAAGATGACATGACAGCACAACACCAACTTTGTCAAGAGCCATAATGGGATTTCCCTGCTGAACTCTCTTGCACATAGAACCTCCATGCAATAGTTCGAAAAAAACAAAGGAAGAATTTTCTGTTCTTTGTATAATTGTGTCTCCAAAAAAAAAAACATAAATCCTTGTGGAAAATGAAGGTGCCTAAGCTATCTTCAAAACTCTGTAGTCATCATCTCAATAAGACCACCATCTCCAGCCTCTTAATCAGATTTAATTGATGCATTCAACCAATGCAAAATCAGCAAGTCTCTTCTAGTTTCAAAATTCCAACACAACATCACAACCTCATTCCAAATATCCAAAATGTACCAGTCCTTAGTGTTTGGAGAACACAAATGATTCTAAACAAAATTACAAGAGGACCCTGATCGATCCATAAATCTTCCAGAACCCTCAAATCTTTACTATCGCCCATCCCAAAATGACTATGATTGGCATCAATATGCCTAAGGGCTAAGACTTGAGATCTCCTTAGCCCAGCTTCTTGAGCTAACCACTCTACTTCCTGAGAATCAACCACCAAGACCAAATCCAAACTCACTTGAATTTATCCTATGGCAAAATTCAAAAATTCATCTTTTTCAAGAGGAAACCTCCGTAGCCATTTGGGTGGCACGGACATGGTCCTTTTCTTCAAAATCCCAAATACCTGAGCCACCACTATCAATGGGGGAGGCACTAAGTTCCAATCTACAAGAATGAGACCCTCCTTCCAACCTGGGACACCTCCCAGCCCGACAAGAAGTTCATGAAGATTTTCCCTCACTCTTTAGACACACCACAAGGCACCTAAATTCTTTCATTTTCTGCCACTTGGTCATAATCTTCTGGATAACAGAGCATTAAAAACTTCTGACAACTTAAAAATTCCCATTATGAGGGAGGCCAAGATATGAATTGGGCCACTCATGACTCAACAATACATAACCTTACCCAGTTTGGGAATGTTGCAATAAAAATGGGTGTCATCAAGAAATTTGTAAATTATTTAGATGGAGCAAATATCTAAAACCCTTCCACAAAACCAGAATCCAACCTATTTAAAGGTGTCCTACCAAGGCAACCGTCTACTTGAACTAATAGGAGACAGAGTGTTTTCCCTTGCCTGAGGCCTCTCTAAGACAAATGCTTATCTAAGGAGTTCATTCGAACTCCCACGTTCAATATATCTTTCCATATGAAACAGAATGCCTTGTCTCCATCAGAAAAGAAGTTTAATAGGATATCATTGCCATTAACAGAAGAACATTATCTAAACCGTTTTTTACTTTGATGTGTCTAGCTGGGCTCCCACTCCAAAGGGCTTTTGTAATTTACTTCTGTACTTATTTTGAACAATAAGAGGGATTTATGTTAACTTCCTTGGCCTTTGAGGGTTGTGTAGAATATTAAGTTTTCTAGCTTCCATTGTATTAATCTTCCTACCATACAACTCTTTCTAAAATAACAAGAAAAGGGATTAAAATATTTGTTCCTGATGCACCATAGGAAGCTGCAACAAAAACCCATATGGCATTTTGGATATGAAAATTGTACAAAGTAAAAAGAAGGGATAGAAAAAAAAAAGTAGTTGCACAAAAAAGAATAGTCAGAATGATTGGATGTAGGCCATCGTATTGACTAATATCCCTCTCCAGAAATAATATCGAGCAAAAGGTGGAGAATTGACAACATCCAATTAGAACAGAGTTAATAAAAAGACAATTAGAATCATTAATTAAAAAATAATAGTCTTGAGTGCTATTTGGCTCCATAATCTTTTCTGTAGGGTCTGCTTGGTTCAAATACAAGCAGCTGGACGTTGTAAAAAAAGAGGTTGGCCCCACCCAAAACCAAATAAATCCAACTAAAAGAAGATAAGACCTCATTGATAGATAAGAGAGATGAAACCAAAACCACAAACACATAAAGCCCTCTGAAGTGAGCAAGAAGCTGCTACATTCAACCTTGTGCTACAGCTCCGTACTCATATGTATCTACAAACTTAACCAAAATGACACAAGGAACATGATGAATCTAAGTTTAGACACAAGAAAGAAACACAAAACAGGACAGAGACAAAGAGAAATGACAAACAGTCAAGTGAATCCTTCTGTCATATTTTCTAAGAGAAACCTAACAACCATTCATAAGACCCAAAAGGAAGTACAAAATCTTCACTAATCAAACCCAATAACTCACAGATCACAGGAACAGAAAAGAGATTGTTTCAGCATGTGCTAAGCATATTCAACAACCCAAGATAAAAGAAAAAAAATCACAGACCAGTAAGAGCTCTGGGGAAAAAATTGCAACAAAAACCAAGAGTTAGAGAGCAGCTGACCTGCTACACTGCTGGCAAAACCTTTGCTCAAGACCAGCAACAATGACCTTGGGGGATTTGGAGTGCATAGTACAGACTTTGTGGCGTGAATAGTAAGCCTTAGCATCACTTAGATCTACTCTACACCCTTCAACCTGACACCTAGGGGGTTGAGCAGCCTGAACCACGCCGCCCCTTGCTTTCTTGGTGGGTGCAGTTGCAATTCCAGCCGAAGATGAGAAAGATCCCCCACCTGATTTCGGGAGCTCCCCAATACCCACATCTTCAAAGTAAATTTTCTGCCCAAATTTCAGGCCATTGACCGACTCAGCGGATGAGTTGTGTGGCGAGGAAGTGGAAGACCCACCAGACTCGGTCAAAGAGCTGCAATCCATTTCCATCAGAAACCCAAAAAACACAAAACCCCCCTTCTAAATCTCATCCGTTGAGCTTCTAGAGAGGAGGGGTCGCATTATGAGGCTGTTTTTTTGACTGTGCGGGAAAGAAAGAAAGAGAGAGAGAAAAGGGGCTAAAGGTGAAGTGGGAAAGAAAGAAGAGTGAGAGAAGAAAGAAAATGGTGGTGGTGGTGATGTAGGGACAGCAAAAAGTAGAGACCTGACAGAGGCCCATGCCAGCTGAGTGCTGAAGTTTTCTTTTTTCCCTTTTTTTTTT